CACGACGCTGATATAGTAATGAAATTAATAATAGCAATAGTAAAAATGTCAGTAGCCATGCAGTAATAATACTTATTCAACGAGTTCGTATAATTACACCTACTTACATTACTTATACTTGCACGCACACGCATATACACATACGTACATGTAAACAAACATGCACACATACATAAGCACGTACATGATGATCGTACGATCAACCAATATATGGAAGGAAGTTTTTTAAATTTTATTAAATGACTTTGTTTTTAAAAACAACGGCATAAGAATTATTGAAATGGGATTGGTAATTCAGAACGAATTCGTTGGAGGAAATGACGTCATTTTAAAAGTAGTTTCACAGTACGTTAGTGAAATAGCCCATACATTGGAAAAATATATATTCGATTCCTGTAAATAGATAGATATGTGTAGTTATTAAATATATATATTTATTTATACATTTAAATTATACAATTAAAGTGAAGTAAGGTGTGTGGAGTCAACTTATTTTGAATTCTCTTGGAATAATTTGATTTGAACCGCGCGCGTGCATACACATGTAACATTGATTTCTGTTGCTTTTATAAGGAAGTTATATAATAAATATATATAAAGAATTTAGAATTCATGTATACAAATAATTACTAAGATTATATGTTTACATAAAAAGAAATAAAACAGTTCCAACCAGCCAATCAATCAGAATGTTTCGAAGTTTGAGTAGCTCTGTTGTCAAGAATGGATATTAGTGTATTACAAAAAATCTAAAATCAATAACATTGAATCAATAAAATTTTTTACAGATGTTAACGATTGAATTGTTTATAAGTATAATATATAAAAGAAATGAAGTAAAAGAAATACATATTTTCATTTGCCAATGGTTATGTGAAAAAGGAGTGATCTCGATTAAATTTGAATTCAACTAGCTAAACGTATACACATTCTCGAACCTTCCCATCAGGAAGTCCGTAGGCGGTCGTTGAATTCATTCTAGTATAGTTAATATATTGTTGTTAAACACTTATAATAATGTTTCATATACAATAAATAAAGTTTTTTAATGATGTCAATGATTGAAACGATAAGAATATATGAATGGAACTGGTATAAATAGGAGCCGAAAATGCGTTGAAATCCGACCGGGCGCTTTAGGGCATTCCCTTAGCGCCTGGTCCTTTTTTTATTTCTTTATTTTATTTTTTAGTTAAATTATTTATTGTTTCTAGACGTATTCGTTACTTAATATTTCTAGATTTGTTCTTTTATTTTATTCGTTACATATTATTTCTAGATTTGTTCGTTTATTTTATTGTTATTATTGCGCGGTCATACATACACCCACACAAACACATACATACATACATCCATACATTCGTTGTTTTGTTTGATGTTTTATTCTCTTTTCCTTACTTTTTTCTTCGTAATTGTACAAATAGGTAGGATTAATTCGTAAGTTGAGCTAATTGAACATAGGTAGGTGAGTTAATTTAGTGAACATAGGTAAGTTAGAGACTCTATTCTTTCTTTCTTACGTTCTAGTTTATTTGTATTGAATTGTTTTGTATTGTTTATTGTTCAACACAACACCAACAGCAGCAATCAAACACAACAATCAACACAATATTATTTTCGTTATATTTTAAGTTAAGTTGTATATTATTTCTACACCATTCGTTACTTATTATTACTAGATTTGTTCGTTTATTTTATTCGTTACTTATTATTTCTAGATTTGTTCGTTTATTTTATTGTTATTATTGCGCGGTCATACATACACCCACCCACACAAACACATACATACATACATCCATACATTCGTTGTTTTGTTTGATGTTTTATTCTCTTTTCCTTACTTTTTTCTTCGTAATTGTACAAATAGGTAGGATTAATTCGTAAGTTGAGCTAATTGAACATAGGTAGGTGAGTTAATTTTGTGAACATAGGTAAGTTAGGGACTCTATTCTTACTTTCTTACGTTCTAGTTTATTTGAATTGTGTTGTCTTTGTTTTATTTGTTCAACACAACACCAACAACAGCAATCTTAAACAACAATCAATACAATATTATTTTCGTTATATTTTAGTTAAGTTTAGTTAAGTTGTTTATTATTACTAGACCATTCGTTACTTATTATTTCTAGACTGTCGTTTTATTATTAACCCCCTCATGAACAGCTGCCTTGACGTGGCGAGGGGGCTTCTCACTAAATGCCGTTCAAGTTTGTGCTTCTTCACTTTTGTTTTTTTTAAATAAAATTTTCTATCTTTTTCTTGGTTGCATTTTTTAGCGCAAATACTCAAACATTGGTTACATAAGCATTTGCATGTATGTTATATGTATAGCATACACGAACCTATAAACAACTGCACAACACAACACACACATAAACATGCAAATGCATACACACATGCATACATATATATGAGTAATACAAACGAGCATTTATTAGCAGTTGTTTCTTGTTCTCCTCCTTTTTTACTTCCCAACTTTTTATTAGTTTAGGTAGGAATGAAATGGGTGAGCCTTGGCTAAAGTTATATATAAGTTTTGAACAATATTTATTGCTCATATGATGGTATCTTAACTTCGAGTTTTTTGTTACGAGTTCGTTTTTGTTTTGTTTGCACACACACTCACAAGTTTCAGTACTGTGAGCAGGTCTGAAACCAGATTGGGATGCAGGTAGCAAGAAGTTAGAGGGAGTTTACTACATATTATATTGATTATCTACAGAATGAAAAAATGCGCTTATCAACATTTTGTGAAAATAATTTATTGAGAATTTTTGAAAAAATGGAGTTAATGGTTTTTAATTAGTTAATGGTAAAAACATTTTGATATTTTTCATTAAAAATTGTCATTCGAATGAATATAGCATAATCTATTTATGTCTAATATTGTAATTGTGCAAATTTTGAAATTTTTTTAATTCAAAGTTTGGCTGTATAACAAAGGATATTTGAAACAAATTATAAAAGTGTTCGAAGACTAATTAGATTTTCAGGTGTTAAATTTTGTATGGCAGTGATTAATAATTAATTATATTAAACTGGTATAGATTATATCAGACAGTGAATATCTTAGTATAATTTATTATTCCATTTTTAATCATTTAATTTTTATTTTATCAAACATGTTCAGAAAGATTAGTTTCATCGACTTCTGCACTTGTCAACTTATGATCAATATGTCTTTGTTTGGCAAGACAGCTCTCCACAATATTGCTGTTATCAGATGAGCAATTGCTGATATTATCCATGTTTCTCTCAAGATTTTTCTCATTGTCATAATTCATTTCATTGCTACTTGGATTTCGAAAAATGTTCTCAACGTTTCCATTGACAACTGTAGTGAACAGTTCAGTGTTTTTACTTTTACAAATCGTCTTTTCTGAAAAAGTGAATCGTTTGTTGCTTGAATAGCACGGTAACTTTTCAGAATTATTGCAAATTAATGGGTTGAAATCTGATTTGGGAGGATTATTTAATGGAGACGTTTCTTCTTTGATGGGGAAATTTTGTTGGCTGCAAGTACTTCCACGACTTATTTTGCGCGTATGCTTAGCAAATGCATTCTCCTGGCAATTACTTCGCATGGAATCGCTGCTCAGTTTGGAGCCGAAAATTGCCGACTCTGTTAAACTGTTTTCGTAAGTGGGGGAATCTCTAGCAAGGCTTTCATTTGAAGTAAGATTATCATCATCGCAGTTTATTGTTAAATTAGTCAATGTGTTAAGCGTAATGCCATTCACATAAGGAGATTTACTTTCATAAGAAAAAATCTGGGAACTGGGGTTTAGTGGTTTGTCAGGACAAAAGGTCATATAATATACGTTTTGAGTAACGTTGTTATTTTCGAGTGAGAGAGGTTTTGATAAGTTATTTAAGTTGTGTTCCTTTGAAGAGGTTACTAATCTAACAAAATTTAGATTTTCACAACTTTTTGAGTTTTTTTGAAATTTTATTTTCTTATCATCAATGACACTCAATGAGCCCGATGTTCGATCGTTGTTTTCTAAAGCATCAACCAATGTAGTGCTAGCACTGCCATCATCTTCGTTTTCAACGTTCTCCATGCTTGTTAATGTACCTGTTCTAGTGAGTGATGAAGATCGGCTTTTTTTAAATTCTTTAACTTTTTCATTATGATTATTGCAAGTTGTGTTGGCATGGCTATGAAACCATTCGCCTTTCATCAGGTTGCGAAGTGATTGAATAAGATCATCAGAGGGGCGGAGTCTGCTTTCGGAATTTTTATCTTTTGTTTCGGCAAATTTATTTTGTTTGTTAACAGCTTGATTCATCGCAGGGCTCCATAAATTATGCAAAGTAGATTTGTTATGATGGTTATAAGGCTCTGACAATAAGCTGCTGGCGGTTTTTCGACCTTTAGCTAAATTTATAAGAGTGTTAATAGGAAGAAATTTTTGCTTGATCGGCTTATGGTTTGCATTTTGATGGAGAGAATTAACGTTCACGATTGTCGGCGGTAGATTTATAGTAACTTTAGTGTCTTTATTCACTAACGGTACATCTTCTTGGATTTCAATCAATGATCCGTGGGTTCCCAGCTTTGAAGCAAGTTTTGGCATCTTATTTTTTCCTGCTGGTCTTAAAATATCTCGACTTGAAAATCTTCTGTTAGGGTTGAAAGAGGTCGGAAATGTAGGGCAGCGAACCACGCGATCTTCTGACGTTGATTCACTGCCGTGGTTAGCGTTTTGTGGGAAATTTATTTTAAAGCTGGAAATTACATTTTCGTGGCAAACATCAGGAGCGTTATTGCTGTTGCCAAAGTAAATATTGTTGTTCAAATCGGACGCATTGTCGTTTTTATCGTTCAATCTATTGATTTGATGTTGCTGCTGCTGCTGCTGCTGAAGAACGTTTTTATTGAAGGCGTTCGTTGGAAATGGCAAACCTCGGCAATTTAGTTGAGCAACATTGAGAGAAGAAGATGAAATATTTTTAGAAGCAGTTTTTCGATTTCTATTGTCGAGATCTTCGCCTACCACAAAATATGTTATCATTTCACCTCGTCCCTAAAAGTTTGTTAATTTTCACTGTCAACATTGTTTGTTAAATCAATTTATTAACATAAACGTTTTTACATTTATTTTGAATGTTATTCAGTTAAATAACTAGGAGTTATAAAAAAATTATTGTATGACAAAATTTTTAATATACTTTCAATGATGTCATCCCTCTTAATTCTAACTTGTACCCACCGAGCTTCTCTAATATCGTTTTACAGTCAACACTGCAATGTATCTTCATTTCTGTTAAGAGCAATTTAATTTTATTAGGTTTTACAAAATATATCATTAGATAACACCAGATATAACAATTGGAGATGCTCATAGAATTTGAGCTGCGATATTAAAAGTTTGTTCGGGTTCACAATATTAAAAACATGCACCTCACAAAAACAGTTGTTGGATGATGTTCGGGTTCACAATATTAAAAACATGCACCTCACAAAAACATTCTACCACGTAATTAGCCAAACAGTTTAAAAGCAAATTTATTGCAAGTTTGAAAAGGAAACACCTTCTCCTGTCGTCTCTAATCTTGAGGCTGTGTTGACGGTGTCACCAAATAAACAATAGCGCGGCATTTTCCGACCGACTACGCCAGCAACCACAGGTCCTAAACGTGTTAATTTTAATATCATTAAAATATTCTATTATTATTGTATAACTCATTTATTAATTCATTCGTTTATTCATTTATTTATTTTTCATTCGTTTATTTACTTATTCATTCATACATACATTTATTTATCTCTCTTAAAAATTGTCATCGTTGTATTTGTTAATTTATGCAACGTTATTCATTTTAATGAACAGGTAGGTTATTATCGAATTGTCAATCTACTAACAACGACAATTATTAACGTTTCATCGAAGGATTTGTGAAGAAAATTACTCGATTTATTGAAAATACTGTTTCTCATCAACTAGAAAAACAAAGGGAATAATTTAGAAGGAACCTGAGTGGATTCCAATCCTGAGTTTTATTGTGTGACCGGGTTTATGTTTTATTTGGAAGTCTGATATGGTTTTGAGGAGGTGCAAGGACATTGAGGCGATCTCTCCGGCGTGTCTGTCGCAGTTTCTGATTGGGAGACCGCTGGCCACCATGTACGCATCGCCGATGGTTTCCACTTTGTATACGTCGTAGTTGCCGATGATTGTGTCGAATGTTGTGTATAAATCGTTCAGCATGTCAACTATCTGTAGGCAGTCGGCACCCAAATTATTTCTCAAACGCAAAACGTTTTGTAGAGCTTTGTCTAAAAACGCAATGTCACACGCATGAACAAGCAAATTGGAATGAACAACCTGCATAGGTGTACTTTCAGCGGAAAGTTTGGTGAATGCGACGATATCGCTAAAATAGATTGTTACACATTCAAATTGCTCCGGTATAACTTCAGTACCTTTTATTAATTGCTCCGCCACTGATCTATTCGGTGTAAGTTTAAAAATTAGCAAACGGTAAAGATTTGAGTAATTTAAAATGACCATGATTTTAATAAAAATTAATAGAAAGATTGACGAAGAATATTATTCAATGAAATCTAACACCGGCAACATAGAGAGAAGTAAGGTTTCTGTTTTTTTCTTCTCTTCAGCTAGCTTCACTTTCTCTTCGGCTAATTGAACTGTTCGTTCTTCAACCAGAGATTCCAAGCGGTTTGCATATTTCTCCATGATCGCCAACATGTTATCGAATATGTTAGTGCTCCTGTACATGTGTGGCACGCGTGCGTGCGTGCGTGTGTGTGTGGCATCATTATTGTTGGAAGCAACTTCAAATGCGTAAAAAATCCGACTGCTTCAAGCGAATGAAACTTAATTTTGCACGTATGCACGTTTTGATATTGTGTGTTAAAAGATGTCATTCATAGACCTAGACCTAGGTAGATCTAGACAACTTTGACGGGGGCCAAAATTTTAAAAACGTTCAAAGCTTTACGGAAGGAACCAAAATTTTTACAGGGAGGCCAAGGTTTGTGGTAGTGTGTTGAAGACTTTTATTAAAAAACTTTTTACAACGGGAGAACTGCTTCTCCCTAGATCCGCCGATGTTCATGTAGGATGATTCATACACGATGATGACAATATTTAATTTTTTGTGACTGGTTACTTATGATGATGAAGACGATGACAATAATGAATGATTGTGAACTTACAATCCAGTCAGCATAGGTTTCAATCGGCTCCTAACCATTTTAAAATCTGGTCTGATGTATTCGTCTTCATTCCAACAGTCGTGCATACATCTGGTCATGATGATTATAGTGGTGGTGGTGATGATGACGATTACTATTCTATTTATTATTACAGTTCTCTCTTCAATATTCTTCAACAACAAACGAGGCACCAATAATAAATATACATTGCAAGTAAATACACGTGAAACAGCGCATCACACATATTGCATGTGACAAGCGTGGAATCGAATGGAACACCCTGTCACTGTAACAGCGGTGCCAAAAACTTAACCGCTACACCATCGCTGTGCAGTAAAATAATAAATATAATAACTTAAGGTTAATGATAGCAATGATGGCAGGAGCAAAACAATGACTAATTATGTAGTAATGGTTAATGATATGTGAAAATTTCAGAAATTGAGAAAAGCAATCGTACTTTATTAAAAATTCTGGACAGGTGAGGGAAGATGTGTCAGGCCTCAAGTGAGCGCCATCGACCGGGTTCAAAATTGTGTTCAGGACTTCTGTTTTTTATTCAACGTTGAATCGTCACTATCGTCATCATCAGTCACATTATTTTCAGTTTCACGAACCATAATCATTATATTTGACATGACTCCAGGGGTCCTTCTTTGAAATAATTTGAAAGAGAATCAATCCAAATGAATAAACATCCCCCTTCTGGCTCCCCTTAATTCCGATGCACTCTGCCCGCAAAATTTCAGGAGCTTGCCACAACATTTCTTTGTTGCAATTAATACGATATAACGTGGATAGTAATGTATTTTATGTAATGTATTTTATGTAATAATCCATTATGTTGTGTTTGATAATATCAATAATTTTTTTAATGGTGTTATTTTAAAAACATACTAGCAACGGTCTGTGCATCAATCATTCTGTTGTTTGCATTGTCATCTCTGAACATGCTCAGGCCAAAATCAGAAACCTGAAGGACCCACCTGCTATCCACCAAACAATTTGACGGTCTCAACCTACCATGGTATATCAAGCTGCTATCATGTAGGTACATCATCCCCTGGTACGTGTTGTTGTCGTTGTTTTGTTGTTGTGTTGTTAGAGACGATTGTGTTTCCAATAATATTTTTAATTATAAATTTATTTCTACCTTGATGAGGTCAAAAACTAGAGAAGCAACCAGCATATCGTCTAAATGTATGTCTTCATTGTATAATATATCCTGTTATCATATGAATGAATGAATGAATTAATTAATTAATTCATTTATTTATTAATTATATGATTACCCTTAAACTGCCTCTAGAGCAATAATGCATGACAATGACAACAAAGAGAGGCTCGATACATGCGCCTATAAAGCGATTGATGTTGTCGTGCGACAACTCCTTCATTTGGTGCAGCTCTTTCTTCGCTTCCCTGTTTTTTTATTGATTTTCAAATTCAAATTAATTGAAGTTTTAAAAAACTGTTGAAAAATTTTTATTGGTTTAAATATATAAAAAAATTAATGTATGGTTCTATATGCATAAACATCACATAACCGATTGATTTCCGTGTGCCTCCTGGGCAGAATTTTGATGGCAACTGTTTGTTTTTTGTATTGAACAACCTTGAACTTTGGCAGCCATCCACTTTCTCCATTTGTTTCATTCAGTTGTGTTGCCAACAATCCAAATGGTAGTTTCTAAATTAGTTGTCATCGTTGATGTTGTGGTATTTTTGTTGATTTTGTAGTATTTGTTGTTATTAGTGTGGTGGTATTTGTTGTTGATTTGGTTGTAGTAATTGCACATTATTGTTCGTGTGAAAGATGTTTTTGCTATTGATAGTAAATTGGAAAAGATATTTAATTCACTGTTAAAGTTTTGTTAAATATTTCATTCGTTCGCTTACCACAAACCCAGTAAAAAAACAACCTACTGTAACTTTTTCACAAAGTGAAATATCGCTTTCCATGTTGACAATAAAGAGGTCCTTATAATCAATCTTCCATATTAGACTGGCCAGTTTTTGTTCGTATATGTAGTGTCTGCCGTTTTTTCAAATTTAAAATGGTAAATAACATAAGTTCTGCTGGCTAGATAAATAATTACGAAGGACCACTAAATCGACAAATAAAAATTAACATATGAGAAATTACCTGCAAGCAAAGACGAATGCAATGATGATGATAGATGCCGCCACTATGCAGATTACAGCTATGAACCAGGCTGCATGTATCAGCATTATGTCGTTTGTTAATTTCAAAATAAAAATTCCGAATTAAGGGCCCGCATTTTATACCAAATTACAGCTGGAAATATTTAATGTTAAATGTCAACTACAGTTTAAATTATTTGATGTTTTGTCAATTAGTTGCATTAAATAAATTTTTCCAGTTCACTTTATTTCGTCGCTTAACTTTATCATATGAATGTTATCAGGATAGGACTAATTTATTGGTATACATATTTTACATATTCAAAGTTCTATATAAAATGTGGGGGAAAATTTAATAATCTTCTGATATTTCTTACATTTGGCATCGAATTGACAATTAACATAGTCATTTCTCTTCTCCTGAATGTTATTATCATTTTTGCATAGTTTGTTGTTCCTCAATCTTATTCTTCGTTGTAGCTGCAGGGAACAACTTTACATTGTGCAAATGGGACGCGATAAATACTTGCAAAACCGTTTAACTAAAATGTCAATATTCAAATAAAAAATGGCAGGAGTAGTAGTAGTAATGAAGATAGTAATAGTAGTGGTACTAACGGGACTGCATCTGGCACTTGCTCCCATCAAATCCACACTGCGGCTCACTGACTGGCACCTTGCCACCGATCCAAGGAATTTCTGCTATCGGATCGAATTCCTTGACATGCAAATTATTTCATTTTTTTTCTACATCGCGAGTAGTTTAAAAATGATAAAAAGAGCTATTTATGCTGTAGCAGAGGCATTTACTAAGAAGTGATAACAGGAACGAACCGGCAGTTGAGTCTCATGCGTGATGAAGTGTCCGACGATTTGAAGTTTGTACCTGTCCTCATCGTTGTCATCGTAGTCATCTTCCGTGTCTGGCAGGAGAGCAAGAACCGTGTAGTTGGCTTCAGCGTTGCCGTGTGCGTCTATGAACATGCTGTTTCCTTGAATGCCTGGAATGTAAAAAACTGACATCCATAAATATTGTGGTTGCTCTTTTCATATTTATCGCTTAAATTTTTGTCATCATAAACCGTTCCTTCTACCAACAGCATTGTCACCATCATCTTCATCATCATAATTACAAACTTTTGTATATTTTCTTAGTGATCAGCTGGACGATGGCAGTGCCGTCCTTGAGGTCAATGTTTCTTGATAGGGCATTCTTAAATGCCTGCGCGTACAAATTAACTGCATCGTATAAGTAGGAAGCAAAGATCGGAATAACCTGTCATTTTATTTTAGACCAATATAAGAGAACAAATTCAAATAACAACTTGATATTATATTGAAAAATTTATCTTAAAAATTTGTAATGACTTTACTAATTAAATAATAAAAATAAAAGAGTTAAAGAAATAAATGATGAATAAACCGGGTTGAGAGTCACACTCATGGGAGGGAGGGTAGGAGCGTAGAAGGGTTTCTTGTAGCTTATTTCATTGGACTTTCGGAGGAAGTTGTTGAAATCTTTGTTGCTGGGTGTGCTTGGTTGCAGAATGATGACAAACCTGAAGGCGCTCACCACACCGTCTGATACGTCTTCCCAAACTTTGTCATCATAATTTTCATTTGTTTGATTGATTGTTCGTGTGCATGTTGCTTTGACTGATCGTTTTTTGTAGCAAATTCTTTCACAAATCAGTATGTTGTTATTTTTATTATTATTATCATCGTCATTATTGTCAAATAAGTTCATAATCATCTTAATAATTATTTTGTTGTTTATAATGAAAATCTCGCTCACATGTTTTAAAGTAGTGGAAGTTCCTGTCGGGGAAGTAAGGATCCTCAATAACCGCAATCACTACATACTCGCCTACGTTACGTAATGGTGATGATGACGTTGATGACGATGACGATGATGATGAGAATGATGATGATTCACCTGTATTCATTCCATTGAAATGCATTTGCCTGACAAATAAGATGATGGCATTGTATTCACCAAGAATGACGTAAACTGTTTGTCACGATGGTGATGATGTTTGTCAGGGAATTTCAGTTATGATGATTTTGATAATTATAATGATGGTTTTAACAGTAAAATTAATTTCAGTTATAATAATGGATACAAAAAATAAATATTAATGTATATTGTCGACAAGACAATTAAAACTGAAAATGACTTGTTATAAATATTAACAGACTGACTTCGGGTGCTCCTGTAAGTTTTATCAAGAATATCAGCTATGATTTCGACAGTTAATTTCGATTGCTCTATCGATACGTCCGGATTCATCCTTCAAATTCGTATTCATCAGGGTTGTTAACTGTACTCAAAAATTCTATCTCAATTACCAGTACCGGCTTTTAAATCTATTGCCGATACTAATGAAGATACTCATTTTTGAAAGTGTTACATTTTATTTTATCTGTAACAATGCATTTGGTAGTTTATAAATAACATGAAATTGATCACGTAACGATAAACTGTTTAAATCATCAAACTTAGAGTAAGGCGAAATGAATATTTTCACCAGATTTTAAGGTTTGGGGGCCTTGCGACAAAAATCAAGGAAAGGCCGGTAACTTTTGCAAAATAAAAAAGGCAATTTTGTGACAAGTTTTTCATAAATTCATTGTCAACAAATTAAATTATTTCAGAAAATATGATAGTGCAAATATTTTTAGTTTTATAATCAATTGTCTTTGAAAAGTTGAAAAAATTTGTTAATTAAAAGATTAAACAGTTTTTTTAAAGTTATATTTAAGCCAGTGAAAAGAAGAAGAACGCACCTGGATGTAGAAGACAGCGGGAACAAAACAAGTTTTTGAAAACAAACGTGTTAAAACAGCAAAACATTATTTAAAATTCCAAATTTATCCTTAAGAAAATGCGTTAAACTTTTAAAATCGAAACAATCATTAACAAAAATATATCCACTTGACGCTCAAAATAACTGCTATCAAGAATCGATTTTTTCAGTTCAAAAAGTATCGGCTATACCAGGTTCGATACTCGCCATCAAAAGTATTGTCGATACCAACCAATACGAAAAAATGAAAAAAGTATATGCAATATCGGTGATGCGATGCTTTGATATTAACAACTCTGGTATTTACATCAACATCATCATCAACATAATCAACATCAACATAATCATTGCAACTGACTTCAGCGTATGAACTTCAGCCAGTTGTCTGAGGGTGCCAGCAGCCTCCTCCCATATTGGGTCTTTGTCAACGATCGCCTGGAACGTCTCCCACCTTCCATATCATCGTTCATCGTCATTTTGAATCTCATGCTATCATTTCACATTTAACATCATTTAACATAATAAGCAAGCACATCATGAAGAACAGCAACGTAAGCAGCAGTCACAGACCCATGAAAAACGACACATATTAACTTGAAATGTTTCATGATGCTGATCAGAGATTTTGACACTTTGGATGTCGATGGGATGGTCCGCACGAACGTCGGGTACAGACCCTCCTTATTCGATACCGTCGACTCTCTACATCTCTGCAACAATTTAAATGTGAGTTATTGATGATAAAATAAGTTTCATTTAAATGAATGAACAAGAAATCTTAAAATATTTGTAACCAAATCATCATCAGATACTCAGTAGCATGAATTAACCCAGTTGATAAACTTTTGTCTAATTTTAAATATATGAGCCAGAATTGATGAAAAAAGGGATGAATAATAATGCGAACGCATCACAAAATGCAATTCAATGAAAAAGAAAAGATAGAGTGAGTAAAACATGAACAAATAATAATTTAAATAATGGCAATTTTACTGACAAAAGAAAACATTGGAATGTTCCATGCCGCTGCCAACCTGGCTTCGACTGCACACAAGCCTTCGGGGCCAACAAACGCATTCACACCTGTACACGTATGCATGTACGTGCGTATGTGTGTGTGTGTGTGTACATATTATATATCTGTGTGAAGATATTATTCCATTTAAAATAATCCATATTTAGTCATCAAATATAAAAAAAAACTTGATCTATTTTATAGCACCAACTAACTTATTTATGGACGTAAATAGAAGCATGCAGACACCCACCCACATACACACAGAAACACATACAAACAATAAACAAGCAGGCAGACAGACAAACACGCCAGCCAGACAACTAACCCATTTTATATAAATCAGTCATTCTACGCAGGGATTCGGCTGAGTCAGCCTTGTTGTCGAACATTGTGTAGTTGAAAAAGTAGCCACTGTCCGCCAGAATACCTGTGTTCACTGAGCTGGTCACAAGTTATTTGGTTGGTTGGTTGATTAAAAAAGAAATTTTTTATTTACTTTTCACCTATTTAAGCAAAAATATTATAGACCGAAATAACAACATAAAACCAATTGTTAATTGATAATACTAACTACACGGAAATGTGCATTTGATAAACGAAAATAAGAAGATGTAGATTAGCATTGCTAAAAATATATTCCTATGACCAGTTTAATAAGAGAAAAAACCCCACTCACTCGATAGCCATTCTAAATGCTCCGAGAAACCCACGACTGTGAATGCCTGTTCGCTTATCTGACTGCAAAGTTGGCAAAAAACCGATTGTGACAGGCTTCCTGTCCAGAAATACCGGGTGCTCTATTATATCACTTTCTGTAAAATTTTGTTCCAAGTAGAAGGGTGTGGTTGTTCTTGTATTTTCACGCATTCGTTTGAAATTTTTCTTGCTTGTTTGAACTTGTCGTTTGTATCGTTGCTGGTGGTAGCGCTGTTGGGTTGTTGCGGTAGTTTTTGCAATTGTAGCCCCCTCGTTCAATTTGCTGATATTTCCAATGAGTTTATCCTCATTTTCAGTTATAAGTCCGATCACTGTCGATGTGAAGACAACCGTCGGAGTGGTTAAATAGTAATTGCTGTTACTGCTGATGGTGTCGTCCTCGGCGATGATGTGCTTGCCGACGAGCTCAACGTGTCCTCCAACAAAACTCGAATTTGAACTTTCGGAATTTAGTATTGGGCATTCAATGTTACCCATTGTAGCCATTGCTATCAAAACGACAGATTTTAACATCAAAGTTCTCCAGAAATCACTCATTTTAAAATTTATTTGTTGAATAACAAGCCAACAAATGAATAAACAGCAGACTATTTCGATAATGGTAAAATGAAACTACTGGGACGGTTGGTTAGTTATTAAAACTCTGTTCACGTTCAATGAATGACTGGATACTAATTATTTTCATACTTTAACATTCTCAACAAAGGAATCAGCTTAAATTCATCAAAACAATTTTTTTAAACCCCGCCAGTCCACCAACAACTCTCTCATTAGAAATGGAAATGTATGAAGTTCAACACGTAATGTTAATAAATATACTAAATATAATATGTGAAAAGAAAATTATATAAATTAAATTTGGCAGCAAGTAGTTTTTAATCAATATTATTTTAGTTAGAAGGGTACAAGATATTTCTGTTCTGTTTATTACTATTTCTGTTTGCTAGGCATCTGTTATATATAATGTACCAATATATAACAGTACAGTTCTCATAAATAAATTTAATCGTCGTCAAATTTTTATAACTCAATAAATCAGACGAACAAATGCGTTGTAAAACATAAAATATCGTTGCATAGACATCAACAAAAATGTAAAAAGTTGCTTGTAGACCAGACTAACGAACGACTGAACGACTGCACTCTTATACATACATTATATGGTTTGTAAGCCATGTATACATACATTATGAATACAAAGACATATATATATATATATATATATATATATATATATATATATAATATTATATATGTATTAATATATATTTTCCAGCCTATACCGCATACGTAAGTACGTGCTCGTGGAAAGTGTTAATACGTTCTTTGTTCACGTTCTGGAATACTGGGTACATTTAAATTTAAATATAATTAAAAATTACAATTAATTTAGCCAATCGACCAACATTAAATTAATCATCATTATCTCGTTAACTAATCATAGCCCTCCTTTTTATCATTATCTCTCCTCATTTATTCCATCATCAAATTTTCTTTAATCTGCGTGAATAGATGATCATTTAATTCTATAAACTGTCCAGAACAGTTTGAATGTGTGTGTGTGTGTGTGTGTGAGAGAGAGAGAGAGAGAGTATGTATGTATGTATGTATGTATGTATGTATGTATGTATGTATGTATGTATGTATGTATGTATGTATGTATGTATGTATGTATGTATGTATGTATGTATGTATGTATGTATGTATGTATGTATGTATGTATGTATGTATGTATGTATGTATGTATGTATGTATGTATGTATGTATGTTTGTATGTATGTATGTATGTATGTATGTATGTATGTATGTATGTATGTATGTATGTATGTATGTATGTATGTATGTATGTTTGTATGAATGAAGGAACGAACGAACAAATGAATGAATGAATGAATGAATGAACGAATGAATGAGCAAGCGAGCGAAACAACAGAAAAAGACAGAAATAAAAGAAGGCATAAATGCACGAATCAATGATTAGGCAAGTGAATAAAGAAATGAAGAAATAAATGAATGAATGTCTGATAATCTGGTTTGATCCAAATTACTAGTTCAAGGCAGATCTCTCACGATGAACATTTCCTCCTATACTTTATTTATGTTTCGTAACAAATTTTAGTCATTATTGCTGCCAATGAACAAAGTTGCTAAAACATTCTTACAATCCACATTTATGTTAATAGATTTATAGGATATTTCGTTCTTTAAGTGGCTCCGCTCAAAATTTCATTTATTTATTTTGGCTGTTTATTATTGAAAAGGTAACTTTTAAAACAAATCATCTAAATAATCTTTATCTGAATTACAAAATATGCTCTAGCTAGATCCCACTTATTAATGAAATAAAAAACAACACCAGTCTGAACTACTTCTCCATCACTTACGAAGCTCAGATCGGATCTCAAGACCCATCTGTTTGCAAAATTCATTGGGGAGCGCTGTTGAACACCGTGGAAATAGCGCTTTACAAGCTTATTGATTGATTGATTGATTGATTGGTTGATTGATTGATTGATTGATTGATTGATTGATTGATTGATTGATTGATTGATTGATTGATTGATTGATTGATTGATTGATTGATTGATTGATTGATTGATTGATTGATTGATTGATTGATTGATTGATTGATTGATTGATTGATTGATTGATTGATTGATTGATTGATTGATTGATTGATTGATTGATTGATTGATTGATTGATTGATTGATTGATTGATTGATTGATTGATTGATTGATTGATTGATTGATTGATTGATTGATTGATTGATTGATTGATTGATTGAACTTTATAAAGAAAATTAATGAAAATGTTTCAAAAATTTGGGATTTTGTGAAATTTTTATCAATGATCAGCAAAAACTGAATCTCAAGTTACAAAATTCATGCGAATTTGTCAGCAAAAAATTAATGCTAGTTATGCAAGTTCAATTCTATTCAGTTGAGTTTTATGATCGATTCTGCTTTTAAATAAATATTGTTCCTTCTCTTATAATTAGAAAGATACTTTTTAATTTTAATATCACTCACATCGTAGGCCATTTCGGATTTCCATTTCGCTCAGTCGCCTTTTTTCGTCATCTTAATTTTTCCATTAGCCCTAATTTTTATTTAATTCTTTATTTCTTAACCATGTCTTTTCCCAACAACAACAACAACATGGTTTGGTTCCAGAAAGAAATTAGGTTGAGTAGGAGCAGAGGATGTCATCTGATCACTGAAGATATTGAAAAAATTGAAGAGATGGAGAAAGTTGATGTTGGTTTGTGCAATGTTTTAGGTGGGTTGGTGTGTTGGCTGGTTGGTGGTTGTTGAGCATAATATAGTTATCACTTGTGTCTTAATAAAATAAACTATAAATAAAGTATAATTTTATATTAATCAAGACTATGGGTTTTTTAATAATACTACAAATAGTAGTTTTACTTTACTGTAGTTGTTAGTAGGAATTAAAGACAGAATCAGAATTATTAATGTTAATATAAATAATTATAATATAATCTACTAATCTAATAACTAATGAATGAGTATGTGCTAATAAATTTTATAGCATTCATTAAAATTTATAAATGATTTGATTTGCAATATGGTTGTTACATAATCCTAAAATTATATAAAAAGTTTAAATAAATAATTTAATTGATAGCCTAATGTAAAAGTAGATAAATATGTATAAAAAAAACCAATCAGTTAAGCACACAACAGCAAGTCTCTGCCTTAATGAAGTTAGTAAATTTCAAATTTTCATCTTACACCATCTTAAATTTGAATAATGCTTCTGCTGATATGATTTTTTATGATTTGATTCAGATCTTCACTTATAAAAATGGTTACAACAATTTTATACTAATCTCATATTTTTTCAAACCAATTTTTAGAACTGGGATCCAGATGTAAGGTTATGCTTGTCATTACATTCTTGTTACATTTAGGCTTGTTTTTTATTATATACATCAAAACTAATGAATAATTTTAAAATATATATCAACACCAATGAATAATTTATAAAAACTAAATTTATCTTAGGGCAGACATGGAATACATGTTGAACAAACTTGTTCCTGAGGTACACTTACTCATTTTTTTTATTATGGAGACATGTTTTTACTTTAAAAAAATTACTGTAGAAAAGGTTTTAACATTTTTAATAAAATTTACGCTTTTTTTACTTTTCAAGTTGGTTTGCATTATTTTTGGTTTTCAGACAACAAGGTTCAGTCACACTATAGAAGGACCAGATGATATGGTATCAAATTATTTGTTCAATTTTTTTATATTTAAGTAGAATTTATGTATTTATGTTTCTTCATCTGTCTTCTGTATAAAATTACTCAAATTGTGATACATTATCATTGCACTAACATGTTCCAGTCATACTTTCAAATAAAAATTTAATTTGAAAGTTGTTGAATTTAATTTGTCCAACATTATAATAGGCCCAAAGTTATTTTATTATTTTTTCAATGTTCAATTCTTGCATTTTTTTATCTTTTGATAATATTAAAAAATTATATTTGCTGATAAAACTTATGAGCCAAGCCATGTGAAATCAGCTTTGTTGGGCGCTAGTGTAAACATCCCCATCACCAATGGCAAGCTGAACTTGGGGCAGTGGCAGGGACTGTGGTTTTGTGAGCATCGAAATTACGGAGGTAGCCACTTCTTCTTCTTCTTCATGTTTACGTTCTTCTTCGTTGTGAATTTATTTCTTAATGTACTACCCATTGAAGGAGAAAGAAAACTTCTTGTGACCATTCAAGGCAAGGCAAAATGATCTCAACTTCTTTTCAAGTTTTATCATTTGTTCATCCTACTATTCATTTAATAAAACTCCTAATATGTTTTCATTTTGTTATCCATTGTTTAAAACAACTCTTTGATGTTGTTGTTATAACTCTTGATTAATATTTAATAGTAACACTAGTGCATCTTGGTCATTATGTGCTTACACAAGTGTAGATAGATATATACGTGCGCTCATTTATTCATACACAGGTACGCGTGTTTATTGAAAGCTATTTCGTATGTAGCCATTATGATGATGTATTTATAATGTTGTAACTGACAAATGGCATGGTTTCATAGAAATTATTAAAATCGTGTTGGAATTAGTTAGACAAGAGTTATTTATTTCATTTATGAGGAGAATGAAGATGTGAAGGGAAGTGTGGTACTTTATGCGTTCTTTTAGATTTTATCTATTACACACACAGATACAGATATATAACGTGCAGTAGTATATACAGGAAATATTTTTTATGTTGTAGTGAAAATTTTTAAAGGAACAGTGCTCAACTAAAAATCGACAACTCGAAAGTTTAGATATTATTCCTGATATAGGCTATCTATAATGATAATCATGCTATGCTATGGTAATGGGTTGTGATGCGACGTGATGACAGCCGGAAATGTGGCGCCTCGTGTGTGTTCATTTCTATCCTTAAATGAATAATGTTTGTCAGGCGGCGGAATGCATCATGTCAACTAATAATAGTTTGGTGGATGTCGTAACGGTTGCAGCGTTGACAACTCTGACGGTAAACTTTTGGGTTATAAAATTGGGTCAAGTAATTGCGACTTTATCTAATTATCTTTCAGTTTATCGGGTGTTGATTTTGCCATCAATCACATAATTGTGTTTGATTCTTGTGGTAAGTTGTGTCAGATAATAACGATTTAATATCTCTTGAGATTGTCATTATTGCTTTTGTTGCTGTCATGGTTATTATTGTTGATGTCATCATTGTTATCATAATGGTTATCTTCTCTATCTTTATTGTTGTTATCGTTAGCAATGTCGTTGCTGATGTTGTTTATGCTGTTAATGATTGCCTGTGTTCCGTCATTGTTGTTGTTTGTTAATTCTGATGTAATGCATTCAGAGTTGTTGTTGGTGGCGGTGGTGGTGTAGGAGGCAAGAGATTTATCTACTGTTTTAGAAGTGGCGACGAAGAAATGTGAATTATTATTACTACTATTGGTAATAGTAATACCATTTTTATTTATGCTGTTGTTATTTTTCATGATGTTATAATTGTTACCATTATTATCATTATAATTATTGTTATTATTTGCATCAGTAGCATCAACACATGTCCTTATATATTTGCAAAACCGTGTGTGATTAACATTGCTATCTGGCGAACAGCTTATATTTCTTTTAAATTCAATAGGCTTCCTATTACAAAGCTTATTGTATTTGTCATCATCATTATCATCGTGTTTAAAGTTTTCATCACCATTATCGCCAACACTGCCACCATCATCATCGTCGTCATCATCAGTTGCATGGTTAACTATGATTTCCAGCGTAAAGTTGCGTCTGTTTGGTTTGCTCATAGAAACATCACTTGTCAGACTTTTTACTTTTTTCGAAAAATTTTTACCTTTAAAGCTAAGAGCATCATCGTCTTCGTCGTCACTGCTGGAAGACCGACCATGGGCAATGATGGACTCGTAACATGGCCTCATCTCTGACGATTTCAACACTTTGCCGCATGAAGAAGCATTTGAACGGCACTTTTTCAACTTTTCTTCAAGACTTTTATATTTGTTGGAGATGCAGTGGTCGGCAGTTTTCGTACGTTGCATAGGATAAACATCATCATATTCGTCGTCATTACTGACGTTGTATTGACAGCTCAGTCCGTACTCATCACAATTATCATCATCTTCTTCATCATTATTCTTGTCTTCATCTTCGCATAGAATATCAATTTTTGATTTTGTTTCATTCTGTTTAATTTTGCGTCGTAAAGATTGCAGTCGTTGTTTGGCAACCGAAAGCAAACGGCTTTTCGTTTCTGGATAGTGAGCCAGAACTGATTTGAAGTGTTTAGATGATAATGAGAAAACGTTGCAAAACGTCACTGCAACCACGTTGGCCACTCGCTTCTCTGTCTTCAACAGACAGATTTCTGTAGCGATGTTATTTTATTTACTATACACAGGAGTTTAGTTAATTTAATACAATAAGTTGACACTACCGACACAAGTGATACGACAATGAAGCAAAACCATCGCCACAAAATTGCAGACCTCCGAAATAAGCGCCCTCTTTAAGCCTGGCCACCTTCGTTCCACATTCGGTGACAACATCGACCCAGCCCTCTTGAATAAAATACATTTTCGTCCCGATGGAGTTCTGCTTCACGATGACGTCATCGGGCTGGAACACCTCGAACTGCAACTTGGAGATGACCTCGTTCACGAAGTTCGGGTTGGCTTCGGAGAAAAGATTTGTTGAGGCAACCAGTGACCGGCAGTTGTAATTCAGTACTTCCTGCGTTTTTATTAATGTTGGTTAATTTTGTTATTTTATAATGACTCTCGTAATTTTTATTATGTAAATAAGAACAAAAAGATGGAACAAGAATTATATTGAAACAACTCTCCCAACACCAATAAAATAATTTCGTTATTATTTACCTCACTCTTTTTGTTGTTCCATCAAAACAGTTACAAGCAGGAACAACGATAAACCAAACAACACACATAGAGGGAAATATTTGTTTGCCTGATAAGATATGGAGAAGAAAATTCAACAGATAAAAGCAGTACAAATAAAAACCTTACTGCACACTGCGTGCGTGTGTGTGTGTGTGTGTGTGTGTCGTAGTAGAAGGATGTTATTGAGAATGTTTTATTGATGTTTTTGTAAAATAAAAACTGCTATAATTGCTTCATGATGTGTTTCAGGGCGATTGAATGTTTGATTAAATGTGGCTAAGTAATTTCCATAGGAAAACAAAAAACAAACATTTGAACATTTGTAAAGAATGGAATAGTTGCATTAGAATGTAGCAAAGTATGTAGATGGATGGATGGAAGGAAGAAAGAGGAATGTTTGCATGGTCGTGAGTAGCAGCGGGGTGGTGGCAGGTAGGCATGTGAGGATCAATGAGTTTGCACTCACTGGCTTGCTTGATGAAGCCAGCAGGTTACAATAAGATGAACAATTGAAGAAGACAATCGCTATGAACAATTCAATGTAGACAAATACGGAGAAAGTATTGGAATAATAAACAAGCATGGTGAACATTAGCAATCAAACATTAGCGTGAAACATGAACAAGCGGAACATAACTTACAAGCATTGTACGAACCAACCCCGCAGCTTAACCCGCAGTGTACATAGCGCACGCTTGAGCTAATGCTATTATATCGTGCCATAATGCAGATGAGCATGCACCGGATGAATTAATAAATTAATTAGCAATTGATTGAACGATTGGTTGATTGAATAAGTGAATTAATTAATGGATGAATTAACTAATGTCAGTAACGTTGCTATTCAGTTTATTCATTGCTCGTAATTTACGATTATGTGTTTTAAATGTTTAAAAAAGGTGAGATATGTTGATGACAGTGCGTAACTTAGCCTAACTAACTAATCAGTTTTTTGTTTATGCGTGCTTATGACGGATGTCAGTCAGGATCATTCATTTGCACTGTCATGTATGTTAGGAAGCAGTGGCTGTTTTAGCTCTTCCTCCGTGTGTTTCGTTGCCTGCTAGCGAGTCCGCCCGATCGCTGGGTGATCAATAAAACTAACGCATGGTTCAATCTATGTTTGCATACTTTTTATCGGTAATCGATGTATCCGACCATATATTATCGTTCGATATAGCTTTGGTGTTTTGTACGATATATCGAGGTCATGTTTGATAAATAATAAACGATACATCAATGTTTGAATGTTTGGTTAATATGAGATATAAAAAGTTAGATCTTATAAATGCATTGTTCTATAAATCATGTGCTTACTGTGAATTATGTAAATGTTGATGTTGTAATAATGAATATTGCAGTTGTTGTTGATGAAGGAATGCCGGCATTGTTTTTTTAATATTGCACAGCTCACATCACCCGGGAAGCAATAAACACACAACTTTGCGATGTCTGCCCGCATTTATGGACCTCTCTGTTTTTTTTTCATTAAAATAATGATCCATTTTTTATTAGTCAATTAGGTGATTGTTCATTTTATCGTTCTGTTGTTGCTTTTCTAATCAATCAATCAATCAGCTGGTCAAACAAATAAAGAGCAAACAAACGAACAAACATTTAACCTGTTTAAGGCATTCATTAAACTCTTCGAGAATGTTCTTTTCATCAAACATCTTCCCTTGGTACTTGAACTCAAAATATTTGTTGACTCGTTTTCTTAGATGGAGAGGCAATTTGCGGTAGTTCATGTACTCTTCTATTTGTTTCAACTGCACGACCCGTACGTGTATGTATGTAGGTGTACATGTATGTGTGTGTATGTATGTGTTGGTACTGTGAGTCGTTAGTTTCCACTTGATTTTTATGCATTCAAGTTCATTTATTTACAAACGCGGATTTTTTTGTATTTAGGAATAAATGAAATGAAATCAATAAAAAAGAATTCAAAACTTTTTCTCTGTAGTGTCGTTTGGAGGTGTCAAACGATTGTATGAGGGTCGTTGCATGTCCAACAAAAAGGGCATAACAAGTTGAACCAATCAGCATGCTCACCATCGTCAACCAAACATCAACCGTGTTTGTTGGTGTGTTCCTTCCGTAACCAATGGAGAGCATTTGTGAGAGTGCACGAAATAACGACATTGTATATTGAACTGTCCAATGAGCGTGCTGTGTTTTTCGAAAAAATAACCCAAGTTATTGAAAAATAAAAGATATATTTCCAACACAACTGCCTACAAACATTCACGGGAGAATGTAGACTGCCCCACAAAACACGCGCGCGCGCACACACACACACACACAGAAGCATGAATGCACGTGACCTCAAGGTTTTCCAGCTTGATCCAACAATCAACAGGGAAGTCTTGTAGCATGGGGACGAACCAGAGCAGGCAGCCATCCCAGTGGCAGATGAGGAGGACGATGCAAACCAGATTCAATATTCTCATGAACTTTCCAGCTACAGCTAAAAACTTTTCAAACACAAAACTTGAATGCTGTGCAAGTATATAGGCAGATGTGTGCTGCTGTATGTTTGCCCTCCTCAACAAAACCACCACAAAAACGTCAACAACAACCTCAAAAACATCATCAACAACCTCAAAAACATCAACAACAACCTCAAAAACATCATCAACAACCTCAAAAACATCATCAACAACCTCAAAAACATCATCAAAAACCTCATCAACAACCTCAAAAACATCATCAACAATCTCAAAAACTTCATCAACAACAACATCAACAACAAAAACGACTGACCTCAGTCCATTGGTTAGCATACC